ATAGAGATAGAATGAAGCAGAATGATGAAAAAGGGGTCCCTATGTCCTCCAGCAGTCTAAGCCTATAGCAGCAGAACTATAGAGATAGCTCAGGATAACTTGATGTTAAAACAAGGTGGTGGCGTTTAGCGCTTATTGAGAGTCAATGGGGATGATTTCCTGCAGGGGGCAGCGTAGCTCCAACTTAGATAGAGCCCAGGTCTATTTTAGTCGGACTACGCAGCAATTCAGACACAATTTCATGGGTCTGACGGGAAGAGAGATGTGGTTTCAAATTAAAATGCATCCACTTTGGGGGGAAATCCAAAATAAAATCTGTTAATCTCACGGAGAAAGAGTCAGTCTGGAGTCGCACATCGTGTTTATAGTGAGCAGGACAGACTGGAGCAAAAACAATGAATGAAACATTAAAATAGAAACTTTCCCCATGAAAGGAGTTCAGGAGGACAGGAAACGGATAAAGTAGTTGATCCTCTTTGAGCCTCACAGAAACCAGAATAAGGAGGAGCAGACAGAGCAGGTCAGCGCAGCGGATCTCTCTCACCTCTTTATGGAAATAGGAAAGAAAAACTGTGATAAACTTCCCAGATCTCTCTGAGAATCACCTCTCTGCCTCGGTCGCCATAGAAACCGTCCCATGCTGCACAGACCTGTTAAGTAGAGCTGTGCTTTATAGAATGTAATAGTGTTTCATAATCTGTTCCAGTCAATGTAGGAAATGGTTTTAATTTGTGTATAGCACTGAGATAGAAGTGAAAATAATCTGCATAGATCTGCTCACCCTGCCTAATCGAGGCCTCTCTATACGCAGTCAGAGGGACATGGAAAAAAATTAGATAAGGGATTAAAAGTCGGACCAATCGGTCTGTTCAGGCCTTAAAGGAACGTCTGCTGATTCTATGATGGGTTTGCTTTTTATTTCGTGTAAAGATGGAGCCTTTAGCAAAACATCATAAGTTGCCAGAATAGAATTAATGAAAAAAAATTACTCCTAATTTACTTTTACGTGTTGAAATGGTCACATGACTTATTTTAATGCAGGAAAACTAGATGTTATTTTTGTCTATAAGAATCTATTTGAACATGAAAGGAATATTGACTGAATCTGTTGTAAAATCGGTTTAATCTAATCTGTGTTTAAAGCAAAACAAGAGATTTAATGAACAGGCAAAACAAGTTAGTTTGATAACTTCCAGTCTATCATCTGCACTTATTTAGGAGCTATTTTTCCATTTTCAGTTAAATCTGATTTATTTATTTAGAATAGGTTTTTGGTTGGTGGTTCACTTGATTAGTTAAGTAATTTTAGTTTGGGACGTGGGTGTTTCACAGTATAAATAGGTAGGTTTAAGGTAGCTTATATGCACGTCGGTGGTCAAATGTGTTTTTTTTTGTTTTTATTTGTTTTAACCAGTCCTAGTCCCAGTTTCAATCCTGGTCCCAGTTCCAGTCAGTCAGTTTTGTCATCAGTTGTCAGTCTGCCAGTCAATCAATCAAAGAATAGGTGCAGGAATCAGACAGCAGTAGCAGCAGTAGCAGAGTTCTGTGAAGCTGTAACTTCTTTTTATGAATAAATCAAACAAATAACTGCATTTTGACCCTTTTTTTTGCACTGGGTAAGCCAAAATCCACGGTGCATCAGGTGATTAATTGAGTTAAAATCACCACTTTCTTTGATCACTTTTATGGGTTAAGTTCTTTGATGCTTGAATTTGAATTTTGTACTAATAGTCAATACACACATATTCTGCTCTGGTGTGCAAAACCAGTTAATCATATGGTTTACTAAACTAAATATATATATTTTTAAGAAAAAGGTCATATTAAATACAAATACTCATTTATACAGACATGTATAAAAGAAGATGAAAATGTTGGAAGTTTAAGATGCAACTCAAATGGATTAAAGTTATTCAAGGATTGGAAAAATTTAGTTTAAAAAATCTTTTTTTTTTGTCCATTTTGACGTAGCTTTTCAAGAATTGTTATTTCATTGTTGTATTTCTGCATCATATATGTCATAAGGATTTACCAGATGCTTCATCTTCTTGCATTTAGGTGTGATGCCACCAGATGAATATTACTACAACGTCAACAACTCTGTGTACACAAACACTGTGGCCAAACTCAGGTACGCGATTCAAACATTAGCAGAAAACCTGAACTCTGCATTTATTGGCACCTTTGGTAAAAATCTGCAGAAAGATTTAGATCCTATTCCAAATATTTAAAACCAAATCCTTAAAGTAGGATTTAACTTTTTTCAAACTGCTGAGATGATCTAGAAGCTTTTATTTTTGTAACCTGTGGTTTCCTGTTTCCTAGATATAAATAGGATGGGTTCAAAATGCTGTAAGCTGCTCTTCAAAGTATAAAAGAAAAAGGTTTCTAGTGTCTTGAAATTATGATCTGATTATATAACATTTAAGATTTAGAGGATTTTTTCTTACCAGGGGCCTCAACAAATCAGAGTGACTTTAATAATCCCTTGTTGGAAATTCTTTGTGCTTTATAACAGAAGTATGTTTTCCGCTCTTAGTCTCCAGTTTGCCGTTGAGCTGGCGGATCTTCTTCAACATCCGGCACCAAACGAATGGAGAGAAGTTGCTGAGGGTATCAGCATACCTTTCGACCAAGAGTTGCAGTTCCATCCTGAGTTTGACGGCTACAGTAAAGGTTAAAGTCTGGACTGCTTTTACAGCAAACCAGTCAGCAGGAGCAAACATTCATCCAAATGTTTGGTGCTCACAGGTCAGCCGGTGAAGCAGGCCGACACAGTGATGCTGGGGTATCCCCTCGGCCTGCCGATGACGCCTGCGGTTAGGAGGAATGATCTGGAAGCTTACGAACCAGTCACAGACCCAAACGGGCCGGCCATGACATGGGTGAGTTATTCCGTTTATTTTCATAGCCTGGACTGGCAATAGCTGCACTTTATGTAAACTTTACAGACTGCATACTTTTTGTTGCTTTATACTGTCTACAGATTTTCTTCTGAGAGTGTTTTACTTTTT